AAAACTGCCATTACTGAAAAAGAAGTTGCAATACATTGAAAGGGTCACTTACTACATCATTGCAGACAACTCTTTCCTGGAACATTTAATAAATGTTTCAAGGCAATAATAAAAATGTGGTCCATTAGTGGGAAAGAAAAAAGTAAACAGCACCTCCTTTAATCCTTTGTAAAATAATTTAGTTTCCCCAACAGCATGAAGAATCAAACAGACTCACTTAAAGGCTAAATAGCTTTTGGTCAATCCATTTCAGTAAGCCATGGCTATATGGGTAAATAATGTTATATTGACACACAGACGTAGGCTTAATAGCAAGATCGTAAACCATATCCAGGCAGGGGACACATTACTATGGGGATTTTCCCCCATAGCAACCTGTCCATTGTCCCACCAGCAAAGAATTGAAGAGTCATTAAAGAAACAGGCAGGAGGTTGCTGAAAATAGTTTAATTTATTTTTTTTCTACTAAATATAGTAAGAAATGAATTAGTGTTTGGCAGATTTTTTATCTGAACAACTGGCTTATTTGTTCAATGACAGCATATTGATTTTCTTGCCAACATGGTACAATGTACTAAACAACAAAATTTCACAGCCCTGGCCTTTCGGGCTGATGGTGGTATGACCTGATTGGGGTGCATTCTCCTCACTAGCAGGAAAAGCTAGAGGCTGCACATCCAGGCAGTGGTGTTTGGAAGTTTTGTCCCTACAAGCAAAAATAGAAAAAAATCCCCTCGAGGGAGACTTTACAGCAAGGAGGTAGGAAAAAAGAAAAGCAGTGGTCTGAGCTCAGCTACAGTATTCCTTTATCTTTCATCATGGATGATGCTGTGAGCAAAAACAGTGGAGGATTCATATCTTAATATACAGACCCATCTGCCCTTCCCTGCCCGCTTGTTCCTGTTCCACACACACTGAGTACCAAAAAATTGTCAGGTAGGTGCTGTTTGGCCAGGCCATTTTTCCTAGTGGTGTGCACCGAGCACAGTGACTACCTTGTGTTTTTCCAGCATTTAGCACATGCGAGGCAAGAGTAACCCGGGCTGTTGGAGTACAGATATGCCTACTCCTTGTACAAAAACTAGGCCACTTGAGCTTACCAAAATGGACTCCTAACTGGCTGACCATGTCTTTGGTTGGAAGGCGCCTATGAAGGCAGCCCCTTCACTTGATGCTGAGATATATAGCTAAGGGGCTGACAGCTTCTGGCATTTGTCATCTGCAGCATAGTACTGTTCTTGTAGTGCTGCTGCCTCCTCCCTGCCCAGAGCTCCAAGCCTGGCACAGGAAACAGGAGAAGTGTGGGAGGAAGGGATGAAAAGGGAAAGGAGCACTCTGAAGCAGTGGAGAAAGGAAGGGGCTGAAGAGCAGAGAGGCATTGGAGCAGAAAGAGTAGGAAAGTAGTAGGGTGAAAATAGTGGAAAAGGCTGGGAATTGGAGAAAGGGTAGTCTAGAAGGGTTGAGGAGGAAAAATAAAGACTCCTAATGGACTTATTGTGGGGAAA